TAAGAAATATTCAGGTAGACTTGGTCAGACTTAACCCGCTGTTGTCAAAACATAGGTATTGTTGTAAGACGAGAGGGACGAGAGGGTGCGCTACCCTTTCCCGGCGGTCATTGCCACTGTTTCTGAGAATTGAAGGGAGGCAGTAGCAATGACCGCTGAGACGCAACCCCTCGGCTTCCCAGAGAAGAACAAGAGCTACTGTATGTTTTGACAACAGCGGATTAGGCCTGTCCGGTATCTGCGCGATGATGGACGCAAACATTGTGTGACGTAGCTAGAATTGGAACACCCTGGAGAAAAAATAAAACATGATACACAATTTTTAAAGATGTTTTGTTAACAAGCACAAAAAAACTTCTCAAAATTGTTTTCAATTCACAAAACTTAAATGACATACCAGTAAAATCAGTTCAGATTATATTTTGGCACTTTATTTTGTTATTTTTCGATCTCTGAAGATATTGAGGACTTGTATACTATTATGAAATTTATAATTTATTACGAAATAAAAGTTTAATTCATTGTTCAGGACTTAAAAGACTCCATTTAAAACAGATGATTTACACAATTGGCAGTACATGTGGGTGATTGCGCCAGTGAATAACCGTGCGTATGATATAAGAAAATCATATCAGGCTTCCGGTCTTCCTATTCTATGACAAACAATTTTAAAAGTAACTTTCGGTCCTTACATGGTCCTACATGGTCCTTTCAAACAGCACTGAAAAAAACGTATCTTACATATTGAACACATAACTCTTGGGAAGTTCAAGAATAGACTTTTAAATGTTAAAGGATGCATTTACCTGACTTAAGTAAAAGGTATTCTTGTTAATACAAATATACAAACTTTAAGTTTTTTTAACTTATCAAAATCGAAAATTTTGACTGTAGTTACTGCAGTTTTAAATAACGCCTTTATAACAACGGTTACTTTGTGGCTGATTAAAATACCCCCTCCGCACATTTATTCCTTGGTTTTTTTATATTTTTTTGTTAATAGTTTAATATGAATTAAAACCATATTCCAAATATATTATATGTACTTATTTTTTCTCCAACCTTCAATAATTATATAACCCTATAGATATATTTTGGTCTAAGACGAACCTTCAGTGCAATATCGATTTTCATTTAAGCTATTAGTCATTCCAATCGGACGAGTTTCAAGCAAAGGCAAGGTGAACAACCTACATAAAAATTATTTTCTATAAAGTTTGTCTATGATTTAAAATCAATTGCTCCAGTATTGTTTATGTTTTTGACTCAAAATAACCGTTGAATTACAGTTTTTAATTTGATTGTTGAACTATTGATTGTTAGAATCAGCTAAGTTCAAAACTCTACTATATCAAGAAACAATATTAATAAATCAAAAATCATAAATATGATCATTTCTAGGATATGATAATTATTTCGACACTGCCGAGCAGAATGGGTCTTTTAGTAAATTCATATTTTATTTCCCGTGCATCGCAGAGAAAATCTACACACACCTTTTAGAAATATATTTTCCTGTATATGTGCGGAATCCCTATATAAATAAAACAGGCTCAAAAATAAGTACAAAAATCTGTAAAAAAAATAATACCTCCGCTGCAGCAAGCCTGCAGTCTATTAATAAGCGAATTCCCATTTACTTGAATGATTTTCAATTAGGCCTAAAAATGCATTTTTAGCATTCAGTTTAGCGAGTAACTAAGTTTGCTGCTACAGGGAAACTAATAAAGTGTGTATTTTTAGAAAAATAATAATATCTCAGTATATAATAAATAAATTTGCCAAGTTTGATCAAAATATTTCCATAAACAAGCAACTACAACATTTTACAATATTCTTCATAAGAATAACATAGGAAATTTCAGATCATATTTTTATCAATTTTCTCTGTACAATAACTAATAATTGTACAAAAATACTTAGATATACTGAATTTTTTGTGTTTTAAGTTCTCTAAAGAGGTCTATAGGCAATTTGGGAAATTTTGTGTCTTGAGGGACAAAAATGAGAAAACCCAGATTTTTAGCGGAGCGGAGCTCTTATACGTCGACTCTTATAACAGTTAATAGTAAACAGTGATTAACAGTTAAATAACAGTCAAACAGTTAACAGTTATATATATTTTTTTAAGTAACCCGTTTTATTAGCAATATGGATTGGTTTGTTAGTTCGGGGTTTAAAAGAACAGAACGACGTGTTTTAATGCGAACAAATTTGAAGTGTTTACATGGTAAGACATACAGCTTTTTAAATAACAGTATCTTAGTCGGTATTGTGTTTTTTATGCGATAGGCTTACTTGAGAAATATTGAATTTATAATATTAGCATTCATAAAATAATTTAGTACTATGTACCTGTTGTTCCAAATCTAGCAATTGTCAAGTACCGTTGTTATAAAGGCGTTATTTAAAACTGCAGTAACTACAGTCAAAATTTTCGATTTTGATAAGTTAAAAAAACTTAAAGTTTGTATATTTGTATTAACAAGAATACCTTTTACTTAAGTCAGGTAAATGCATCCTTTAACATTTAAAAGTCTATTCTTGAACTTCCCAAGAGTTATGTGTTCAATATGTAAGATACGTTTTTTTCAGTGCTGTTTGAAAGCTAAACAAACAGCTTAAAATAGCTGTTATTATTAGGTCCTAATATGTAACTGTTATTTTGGAATATCAGGTTTAATTTTTAATTGAATAATAGTTTTAATTTGTTGAATTACATGGATTATAAAAATTAAATATATATTTGAATTTAATGATTGTAGTAAGCTAAAGTAAAGGAACTTAATTTTAATTTAGCATGAAACGTATTTTTTTCTGACATATCTTGTAGTTTTTTTTTTATATATTTAACTAGTTCATTTTTGTGTTTGAATGCAAGAAACAAATTTCTCTCGTGGCCATAGAAGGCCTAGTGGATAATAATTATTAATTTATCCAAATACACTATGAGCTATTTCAATGTATGTTCAATTAATTGGTCAAATGTCTAACGGCGTCTTAAAAATTTAGTCTCAAATGTAACATCTGTTATGATCTGGAACTAAGTTTATATTTGGCACTAACATGAAAAATGTTAATCGCAAAAGGTCGTTTTTATTTCCTCAGGCACAATGACTGACTTCTATTTAAGCTGAGAGCATGCAATGTTGGCTTAAACTAAAATTTATGTAACAGTGTCACTGAACTTTTTATAAAATCTCCTACATTGGAAAATGTCCTAACTGCATTTAGATTGCAAATATTTTTTTTCTTCTACTTGTTGCAGTATACAGAACCAACCTAATGTTATTTGGTTCTAACTACCTATATTTTAGTATTATTTTATTAATTTGTTAGATTTTTTAGTTTTATTACCCGGGTGGAGCCTGCGTGTATCATCTAGTTAGTAAAGATTAAACATGCATAATTTATAATGTATTTTATTATTTGCTTATTATTTATTGTAACATATACAATTATTTGTTTTCAAGCATGGTAGCGCCGATAAACCAAGTGGAGAAATCCTATTATGCGTTATAAGAAAACGTAAACAGATGGAGCGGGGTGGCAGGTAGTCGGGGTGACACGTTGTCGTGAGCGTACGAGGTGACTGTTTGTCGTAAACGGCAACGACAGATCGTCACCTGGGCCTAGAGTAGGTGACGGGTAGTCGGGGTGACACGTTGACGCAAGCGTGCGAGGTGACAGGCAGTCGTCTCTACACACGACAAACAATCACCTCCAGAGAAGAGGTGACAACTAGACGAGGTGACACCTAGACGGCATCGTTATATTTTTACGAGGTGACACGTTGTCGTCTGTGCCCAAAATACCGAGGTGATGGGTTGTCGAGGTGACACATAGACGGCGACCCCTATCAAATTGAGGCTATCCTTATCACTATCGACTCCTAGGAAAATCCCCGCAAGCCGACTCGTGCGATTCCTGGGACTTCGTTTATCGTACAGGTGGCGTAATTCCCCACGTTTCGTCTTCAGGAAAATTACGTCACACAACACTTATACAATGAATTTACAATACAAGCAAAGCCGTATAAAAGGCTTTTCCGCAGCATTTCTTGTAGGTAATACTAATTGTCTTTTCCATCTTTATCTTGATCTTGAGTCAGTGTGAACTATTAACTGTACCTACAAAAATATATTTGCAACTTATTAAACAGTAACAAATTTGGCTTATAACCATTTTACATAAACTTTCTGTCTGTTTCCAGATGTTTTGTTTCCTTTCTGTCTGTTAACAACGTTTAACAAAACAATATATGTTTACAAACTGTCCGTAGTTTACTGTATTGTAATTCTGTGTACCCCAAAGCTTGTTCAGTTGGAGGCATTTAGTCAGGCTTTAATAATGTAAGTAACACCTATACTGCAATCGGCAAGTGTTTGGAGTGAAGCCCCTCCCCCAGTCTAACGGGACTAGGGGCTGTAGGCTGTAGAAAAAAGTGAGACTAAATGTCATTGTAAAATGCTAGTTCACATGCCCTCAAGTCGCTTGCCCGCAGTCCAAACATAAATGAGTCCAAGGCTCACTGTGAACCGGCCTGACCCTAACGTTACTTTCCCAGCGGGCGGCGCTTCACTCCTATCACTCGCCAAATGCAGTATAGAGGCTTGAATTGAATAACATGAGTTTCTTTTTCAAGAAATAACCTAAAATTATACTTAAGTATCTTTTAAATGGAATTAATGGATGTTTTAAATTTGTAAATTGCATTTTTTGAGGTGGTTGGTCCATCCTCCCAATCACAATTAATTTAAGAAAATTAACACAGTGTCTGGCCAAGGCTCACATCCAAGTAGAACAGTAAAGAGAGTATCTCTTATATTTAGTTGTATCTGACTTGTTTTTTGTATGAGATGCATTCATTTAGACCTAAGACGTTGCAAAAAGAACTTCCCATTCAGTGCATTAAGCGAATGATCTACCTATCTTTCTTTGTACTAAATCCAACAGCCAAAATACTATTTTAGATCACGACTATTTATAACCTGTCTCACCTGTAGGCAGGACTATTGTTAGCATGGTTGTTCAACATGGCCGCCACACCATACAGAGGATAGTAATCCATCTGACCATCGCCTCCGTTCCCGTTTTCTTCCATAGGTGACTCGTAGTTTCCGTTGTGTTCCACAGGAGAGCTGGCCGCGGCAGGTTTGTTCCCGTTCACCGCCTGCAGCCTTATCTCCGTCCCATGGTGTCTTAGCAGTGCCTGTACCTCGGACAGAGGGTAGTTGCCGTTCTTGCCAGATTGGTCTGAGTCGCTTTCGCCAGGCTGGCCGTTTTCTTGAGCCTACAAAATTTTTTCTTGCTTAGTTTAAATACATCATTATTGTCTGTTGTTACTAGGGATGTGTCGATTCTCGATACCACCGATACTTGGACATTGGTATGGTATTGAGAATCGATCTATTCCAATACAAATAGATTGCTTTTCATTTAATTTCATATAACTTTATTCATTTAAGTACAATACATAAATACAGGAATGGCGTCAAGAGTAATTTAATAAAACTAACTTAACTAAAATACTCATAATTATCATGCATGGCTTAACAACATCAAATCAAATCAAAACATCTTTATTTTCCTTGCATGTACATGGGTACAAAAATAGTGTAAAGTATAAAGTACTAAACTAGCCTAGATAAATACATTTTAAGTATGAACATTTATTCAATGAGTTCCTCCATTGTATAAGGCACCTTTCCTATTAAATGTTTTTTTTTTTATTTGGCTTTAAATAATTTAGCCTATAATTTGATTCCTCCTTTATAGAGGCAGGCAATTTCCTTTTAAATTAGTGATCCAGCAAGGTTTTTTTTTAGAATTCCAGCTTATAGGTTGAAGTTACAATATCCTCTTTATGTCTTGTATTGTAACGATGTGGAACAACTGGCTCATATTTTAGGCTGTCTCTTTTAGCTATACATGCTATTTCAAAAGTATACGCTGCAAAAACTGTAAAAATATTTAGATTTTTAAAGTGAGATTTAACTGATTCATCTTTTTTAAGGTGTAACATAGTTATAATGGCTTTTTCTTGCATGATTAGAATTGTATTTAAATTTTTATTCGTAGTTGCCCCATACAGTCCAATGACATATCGTCCCAATTAAAGTTATACAAGCTGGCTTTGTACATTTCCAACAAACAATAGAAACACAAATTATATGCTAATTGATGTTAAAACTTAATAGCCACATCTACTACCGGTACTGTATTTTAAAAATTCTCTTTTAAATTTAGGCCCCACTAAGGTAAGAATGTTGAGACCCACCTCATCGCTGTTGTCTTCTCCCTCGTTGATGATGACTTCCGGGGTGAACTTCATCATCTCCCAGTCTCCGCCTTCATCTCCGGATTCTGCTTGGTCCTGAGGGAACAAGATAGACAGTCAGCCAAACAATTAATCAGATATTAGACTCTAGGTGGTAAAGTTAAACTATTAAAAAAATAAATAACTGTAGAAAAGTTGTATTCACAAATTCTGTTTAGCTACAAGTAAAAAAAGGATGAGACATGATGTCTTTTTAGTCGGGACTGAAAATTTGCTGTAATGTAGGCATTGTATTTTCAAGTTTTAGTAGGGCCCATCACAAAAATTAAGTTTAAAATTGAGGTATGCTTATAAGCTGTGCACCTAATGTGCTGGTGTAAAGTACTGTTTTCTTTAAGACAAACACTTAACACCAGAACTTAAAAAACAATTCCTTGTAAACTATAGCACAGTTATGTCCTTACCAACAAAGAGCAGACTAACTACAAGTTACGAGAGGCTCAAGTAACTAACTTATGCCTACAGCTGATTCATATGGATATCTACATAAGTATTTAAAGTCAATGGTTTCAGGCATGAATGGTTTACTTTTTTCAAATTGAGCACAGTAGGGCTTAAATAATTAGCAGTTGCAAAGCTTACGCAATTGAGTCAATCATTTTTCTTTTAATAGGCTATAGAACACAGTGTTATTCAATTAATTACCTCCTTGGCCTCTACAATAATTTCTGCGTAAAAAAAAGTTAGCTGATAGACTCTTTGGGCGAGACATACCTGCAAGCTCTGCCTGAGGGTGGCATCGGACTGCTCACACTGTAGTTTGAACTGGTATGATTTATCCACCTGGGCCAAACATTGGTAGCAAATGGAGGAAGGAAGGCCGTCGTTCTCATCTAACTATAAGGTAAAATATTCTGGTTAGTATTATACAAAACAATCTAGCCCTTTGAGTTACAGCTTCGGATGTGTTAAATATTAACAGAAAAAAAAACACACTTACTAACTCCTAACTTATCTATGTACGTATAACTTAACATAGCGTCTGATAGCTACTGACGAAAACAACAACCTAGGAGTCAAAGTTAAGTCGGGCTTTTGTTTGACCAGAGTTGATATAGCAGTAGGATTAATTCATTTAGATTTATTTGTAAGCGGTAAGGCATTGGCTCTCTGGCCAGGAGATAGTAGGTCTAACGTGGATTGAAAGAAAATCCAGTCTCAATCAGTTAACTTAGTAGCCTAAGTTAAACCACTTAAGATACATCTTAATGTGTTCAAGTGTCAGTGAAAGAGGCCTGCCTACCTAAAATAAACTAGCAAGTTATGTGATTTTGGGTGGTTGATAGGACGGGTGGATTCTCAGTGAATTGCGCCTAAAATCAGGCACTAGCTTACAGTAGGCACTACTTATTGTTTATCTTTACTACCGGTACAGTATTTTCTTACGAGTGAATCCACCGAACCTCTTTTATTACAGTACATTATTGTGGTCACAAGATCAGTAGAAAAATATTAAATGAGTGATAACTTAAATTCCTGAAGTGGAAATGGGTAACTTAAGTTATAGGATTAACTAACTTAACTTAACTTAGATTTTTTAACCCTCCGAGTGTCCATAGTTTAGGCCTTAATGTCCGCCTATTTTTGGCGCATTTGCAAGGTTTTATTAAAACCGATCTGAGAAGCTTAAAACAATGTTAATTCTACTGTTCTATATACCATTTTGTTTGGAAAATCATGGGCTTCAATATTATACATAAAACATAAGGAACATTTGTTTCAAAAAAATTTTTTAGGTAAAAAAAAAATAATTTTGGAAAATTTTCAAAAAAAAAAATATGTTCGCGCTCAAATGAAATTGTATAAATTATAGGCTTATAAATATTTGAAAATAGCCACTTTGTTCTAAATTTTATGAGGATTACAAATATATAATAATATAAGGAAGTAGATTTGCAAATAAATAAGTTATGGGCAAAAAACAGATTTCAGTACATAGCGTTTAGCTAAGAATGCATAGCCTAACCATAGCTAGGAATCTGGCTGATAATTTACATCAATATCACTAACCTACTTCTTCAGGATCATCAACCAGCCCTTCAAAATCACTTAAATCTTCTTATAATGCACCACGTATATCACTACTTTTGATTTTTAACACTAAAACAATGATAAACGTAATAAAACACATCAGTCATCGGTCCGAGGGTAACCTAGCTATTTACAAATACGCACGTCAGCTGTCTGCTACAATTACGATCGGCTCGGAGAACATACAGCGCTGAGACAGACCTCTGGAGAAAGCTTAGAGTATAACGAAAAGAACGATACCTAACTCAATCCAGTTCAATCCGATTCAGTCAGTCATAGAGCCTTCGCCGTAAACGATGTTCGCGCGTCGAAAAAATCGACGCGTGACACTACACAAAGTGTGTTGCGCGTCGATTTTTCGACGAGTGACGCTCGGAGGGTTAAACAACGCAAACTAGTCCCTATTATAAAAATATCCTGAGTAGGCTAAAGTTACTTACTTTAATCTGTGCGAAGCTCATTATCCTTTGAGGCAAAGCCAGTGTTTGTGGATTGCTTTTGGAGTACGAGTTGAAGATGGGGCACATAACTTCTGCCTCCCCAAGGCACAACCGGCAGATCTTTGAGTGGTCTGAATTCATCTTGGTTTATGTCTTTAAAACACAACAGTTAATGTTAAAAATACTTTGATATAGCAAAATGTGTGGTCCTGTAGTAACTTCCATAGTAGTAGGCCATGTAGTAGATGAATAACTTAAGTAGCTTAGGTACTTAGGACAACATTTAGGTATTTGTTTACTTTAGGGGCTTCTAACGAATTTTGAAAAAAATGTTTTTTTCTTATTATTTGGCCTATTTTGAACACTTTTTACATTTGACACTTTTGGGGCAAACGCCTATTTCACCCTGAAAATCGCGTTTGAAAATTGCAAAAAGTGCTAAAAATTTGCGTAGTTTTTATATTCTTAATGTGTTTTTACTATTACTAAGGACCTACAGAACTAAATATAATCCAACCTAACTTTCTAATCTAACCTAACCTAACCTAACCAAACTTAAACCTAACCCAACCCTACCTAACCAATGCTTAGGTTAGCAATATGCCGAAAATAGCGGATTATTAGTTAAACCAAGGTTAGGTTACGTTAGGTTAGGTTAGGTTAGGTTAGTTAAGGTTAGGTAAGGTATGGCTAGTTATTAAGTTATTATTTAAATCAATTAGCCTAAAATCACCTGAATATTTTTAATCTAACCTAACCTAACCTAACTTAACCTTACGTAAACTAACCTAACTATATTTAAACTAACCTAACCTAACTTAACCTAACCTAACCCAATCCTACCTAACCTAACCCAACCCTACCTAACCAATGCTTAGGTTAGCAATATGCCGAAAATACTTAGCGGATTTTTAGTTAAACCAAGGTTAGGTTAGGTTAGTTTAAATATACATCTGCTTATTACTATAATAATAAAAACACATTTAAAGAAAGGCAAGGGGGAAAAAACCTGATTTTCTAAGTAAAAATGGCAATTGCTGAAAAATTTTTGTGATTTTCAAACGCTATTTTCAGGGTGAAATAGGCATTTGCCCCAAAAGTGTCAAATGTAAAAAGTGTTCAAAATAGGCCAAATAATGAGAAAAAAACATTTTTTTCAAAATTCGTTAGAAGCCCCTAAAGTAAACAAATACCAAAATGGTTTTAAAATTACATAGGCCTAACTTATGTTGTAGAGGTAGGCTACCTATTTGGCAATTGCAACAATGTGTTTTTTACAGACAACTTAAAACACATCAAAATGACCAACAATTCAGTTAGGCCTAGCACTTTAAGTTAAACAGGTACCCTACACTAATTTAACTTAGGCTAGCTGATACTGACCAAAAATGTGATCATTTTGGATTCACCGACCTATAATATAGTGTGATCGTTGACGGAAAGCGGCTGGCTGAAGGGTCGACCCTACTCACACACACAGACGCAAGGGATTAGAACGGTCGTGGGACGGACCATTGATCTGCCGCGCGAGTCATCGCTGGCTCACGGAAATTAAACTATCAATTTTTTATTTTACATTTGTTATAAAATCTGGTAACACATTTGACTTCAGCTCAAAATGCTAAGTAAAATGATACCAAACAATATATATATTTTGCTTAGGCCTACAAAGTGTAAAAGCTAAGAATATTTTAACACGTATTTATTAGCTAGCTAATTGTCATAATCATTTCGTGTTTGGACTCATTTTTCATTGAATTAAACAACAAATTTATTAACACTAACCATTTTACTGTATATCTAACATCAAATTAATTGCAATTTTGAGGTATCATACAACAGATGTTATATTTTTACTTAGTGAATATGGGATCGGGGCTTTCAGGCGATTAGGACGGTGGTGAGTGTGCGTGCGTGAGTCGGGTAGGCCTATCTCGCAGGTAGGGCTGAGCTCCAGCCGCACTCCGGTAAAAATCAGACTATAGGCTACCCTAAAGACTAAATCCAATTAAGTTTAGACTGTCATATAATAATGACAAGGTGCCTGTGGTCTCCCTACCTAACTAGCCTAGCAATTATTTTTTAAATTTAAATATGAATGAATTGAATAAACAACCAAAAAATTATTCAGTTTAAGGGAATTTTCAATGATTAATTTTGCCAGCCACCTTTGAATTTTAATTAGCAAGGTAACTTAGGCCTAGGCCTACAAATTTAAATTTAACTCAGATTAACTTATAGTTTGGGTAGAATTAACTAAGTTACTTTAGTTTTCCAACGATCACGTAAAAAACTAAGTTTTCAGTTTGTAAGTATTTGTATATACTGTACATACCTTTCTATAATTTATTGAATAGTGTCATTAAAATAATAGGTAATCACTTCCCGGCACTTTTCTTTGTTCCTTAGCACATTATGTGATAGGTTAAGATGAAGACCTTGAGTTATCCTAAAAATTATTTTGGACTCGTCACATGACAACAACGATGTTGACAAGGTTATTTGTTGTAAATTAACTAAATAAAGCGTACAAATATCGACGTCAAGTTTATTAAAATATATATGTATTTAGTATTTTAGGCACTTAATTTTATGACTTGTGAAAAAATCCTCGCACCTTCCAACCCTTGCAATCAACAAACAAAAGCCGCCATTCTTCTTATTGCTTTGCTTCAGCTTATTATTATTATTATTTTGATCAAAGCAGGATGGCTAAAAATGAGTAAGAAAAAGGCAAACATTTTACTAAATACTATAAGAAAAACAAATATACTTTACAGATGGATAGGCAAACCCATTATACCCATATAAAACTTGACTAAGCAACGGTTATTAAATATATTAAATTATATTACTTTCACCATTATAATCTAAGAATCTGTATTAGTTTGCAAGTTTTTCTGATTAGGTTTGGGATTGCAGACTGCACACTTTGACAATAATCGTTGGAAGAACTGCCCTTAATACTACTCATTGAAAAGTGTCATATATATGATTACTCTGGACACCCTTTCCCGAATCAATTTTAACGTAGCTATGTGTGTGTAATTTCAATCGAGTTTCAGCTCTTGTTTATACATTCGGTGCAAATTCTCATGTGCTAAGGGACAGCAGAAAGGGCACGGGTCCATCTCTGTTGGTAATACGGATTAATTAGTAGTTAACCAACTAAAAGTAGTAGCTGGTGCTGATTACTTGGACCATTGTAAACCCATATTTGTAGCTGAGAGCTTAATGACAGTTTGAAACCTCTATATTTTTCAGTCCTTGATCAAAACCAAGAAGGAATGGGATTCTCTTGAGCTGAGAGGCGACATCCATCCCTATAATACACGTAGGAAAAATTATCTCAATTTACCACAGTTAGATTAAGTAAAGTTCAGATGTCGAATGAGATTCTAAGTTATAAGTTTTTTAATAAACTTCCTTTTGCAGCTCGGAACCTGCCGGACCCAAAATTTAGAAAAGGTGTTGAGGGGCTCCTTTTGGCAAACCCTTTTGTACAAGAATAGAGAATTTTTTGATCTGAAAGAAGAATTTGTAAGTATTTTTTTTCGTTTTTCAACCGAGTGCTGCGTGCTGTTTTTTTTTCTTCTCTTTGCATGGAGAGTTTCAGGAATGTAATTCTTTATATTGGTAAGAAACCTCGTACCATGTCTTATTTTAGTTTTCATTTTTTTTAGCTATAGTTGACTGACGTTTTCCAGCAATGTAACCACATTTTATGGAAATAAAAATAATTCTTGATTCTATGAAAACTACTGTCGTTTGTTTGAGGGCACTAAAGTTCACTTTATTGCAGATTTACGGATTACCAGTTACGATTCATTGCATTAGAAGGTCATCGTAAAAAATCTAGAGTTCCGAACTGATGACCTCATAGAAACTTCTCACCATCTATGCCGATCATTTGGAAGGATGTGTTTAAAAAACCAAAGCTTAGCTACTCTAAAAATCGCGGCTTTGATCATGCCCTACTTACACCGCACCATAAACTCCTTATGCTTGACTGAATTACATTCAGTCAACATTCTCCTACATTCCTACATTCCTACATACCGACATTCTTTTCTTACAGAAGAAGGCTGTAAGAATTATAACATCCTCAGACATTGACGAACACTGCCACGGCCCCCCTTCATGGGGTTAGGGATACTAACAGTGCACAGCCATGTCCTAAGCAGCCTGCTACTCCTGAAAGATAACCTTCATCGTTTTGAAATGAGGGAAAATCAGCATAGCCATAACACTTGTAAGGCCCAAGACCTCGATCTGCCGTGGTATAGGCTTAGCCACTCCATCAAAAGCTACCATCGCTCAGCTATCAAGATCTTTTAATACGCTGCCAAAAAAAGTGAGAGAGTTGGACAGTGCGAAGTTCAGGGCAGTACTGCAAGGCCATCTGGTTAATGGACCCCTCTACTCATAGAGGAATTGAAGGAGGTGCCACTAAAAGTTCGCTGAAAACAGCACTCCAGTAGGTTAGGAATAAAATCCTCACAGCCAAATATCAAAAGTGTATTTTCTGCAAGATGTTTGTAAATATTAGTTTTAAAATAATGTGTAAATGGTACTGTATGTTAATATGCCTCAGACGCCTAGTCTATCCGACAATGTCGGTCAAGGATTAAGGACACAAGTATCGAGTAACTATTAAGTATTAACATATGACAGAGTGTTCAACTTTTGATAAAATAATGGTACTGTAACCAAAATTGAACCGTATACTACATAGTGCATATCACTTGATATGTATTCAGACTAAACTTTAGAAGAAACGAAATGGCGATCAACATCTTGCAATTCTCTAATTCAGCGCTGTCAATCACTCTTCTTTCGTATCTCTAGCTCAGTGTCTCTAGTACCCGAAGAAGTCAGCTGGCAAACATGGGAATAGGATTCGGAGAAAATGAGATTGAGAAATAGTGTGGTTACATGATAACTAAACCAATTCAGCTTTTTAAGCAAACTAAACTCGAATAGAGGAAGAAGAAAATATTGAGTGTCTTCTGCTTAGTGCTTCTGCCTGCTATTCTGCTACCGAGCGTCCTCCTCATCCTAGTTTAGTTTAGGACATTTTTTCGAGTGTTTGTGACTGATAAGGAAAGAAAATTGTCAACTTGAGTGTCAATAATGTCACTAATTGTTAAGGACAGAATAGATTTAATCTTTCAATGAGTTAGAATTTCATTTTCAGATAATTGTTTTCTCACTTAGTGAAATCCTGATACTCCATCCTGTACTATTTCACCGCTGTGAATTGTTACCCAGTCAACAGTCATCTTAGTGCTATTATCTTTGCATTGAGTAATTCCGTGCTTACGGAAACTAAAATAGGTAGCCTGTTTAATAACATCTGCTAAGTAGGCCTAGTGTTCATCAACTATGGCTAACGAAGAACAACAAGTTATAAACTATGAGAACGCCGGTCGTTTGGTCATCTCTGCCATTACCTATCCTATAGAAAATGCCAAAACTCTCATACAGGTAAGGCTCTACCCTGTTTTGTTAATTTATTTTACATTTCATTGACGCGATTGCTACTATCTGGTTTCCTAAGAATGAAGACCGATTTAGAACAGCACTCTGGAAACATTTTGTAATAGGGTTACTGTACTGTCTCTAAACCTAGGCTTGCTCTGAAATGATAAATTAGTAGGCTATAGGCCTACCTCTAACCAACAAGAAAGTACACTTATATAGATAGACGCTCTTTTAAAGTGAGGGTTTAGGCGTAACTAAACTCATAGACTTAGTGTAGGCTACTTAAGCCTATCGTATTTTTTAATGATAGGCTACCACTCCAAGTGCCTAACACCTGCTTTACTGACCAAATCTAGGTCTCTACTAGGTTACAGTCCCTCAGAGGACCTACGATATATTACTAGATGAAATATCAGGCCTAAACATAGCTTATCATGGTGCACAATGTTTAAGAAACTACCCCTTGGTCGAAATATCTTGGCTCAGAGTTAGCTTCCTTGTTATAAATGACCCGCTGTCTCTAAGAATGTCCATAAAGGTTTAGAACAGCATTCTTGATGCTATTTTATTTTCATTTTTGTATGCAAGTTAAGTTTACATCCATGCGTGTGGCATTTCTTTTTTTTCTTTTTTTTATGTGGGAATGGTCCTTTTGTTAGATGAAAATTAAAGATAGCCCAATGACAATAATGGAATCTGGGTCCAGTTAAGATCTTGATTGAAATCAAACTCACTTAACTTATCTTCAAGAAGAACTGTTAATATTGGAATTATACTAATTTTAAATAATAACTTCGCCAATATTTCTGAATTTTTAATTTTTATGAGGCCTTTCGCCAGCTATGCTGGCATCATCAGACACATCACAATATTTAATATATCATATCACATATCATATCAACATATCACATATCACAGACAATCAAAACCTTCAGTTTTGTGATGTGTCTGATGATGCCAGCATAGCTGGCGAAAGGCCTCATAAAAATTAAAAATTCAGAAATATTGGCGAAGTTATTATTTAAAATTAGTCACTTAACTTAGTTACTTTCAGATTTGAAGGCGAGCACCACTAACATAGGCCATAGAGAAATAGAAGAAATAAGTTATAGGCCTAGGCTTTTCAAAGGAAGGTTCCGCGATGTGCCGCTAGAACGTGCTCTAGATTCCCTGCCGTAGTCAGCTCCTCACCGTATGCTACCAGCTGACGCTGCAGTGATGTGTGCTGTAACTAACTTAGACATGACACTCCTAGCAGTGGACACCAGAACATAAATTATTCTTACCGCAGCATTGCTATATTTAATTCTTTTTGTCTATGACCAGGCTAACAACTTAACTTATAAAACCACTAATTTGTTCATTTGGTTTTATGTTACAGATGGGCCATGAACCAATTCCACCTTTCAGGACAAAAACAATTTTTGGAAGTCCAGCCTTGGGCTTACCAAATGTCTTCACTTACGGTATGTCTGTCAAAGATCTCTTAAACTTACTTGGACTCTTTTTTTAACTTAGCCTATATCACATTTCTTGACACCATCATTTGAGCATGGGGTAAACGATTTAGAAACTGAAATGGTCATACAATACTGTGCTCTTTTATCACTTGCTAGTTAGGTCACACATTTTGAAATTGTATTGTTTTGGTGCTTTAAATTATAGACCCACCAATGCCTATCGGAAGGCAAATATCCTTATTTTGATAGTCATTTACAGAGGTAACACCCACCTGGGTTTGTATTTTAAGCTGAATAGGCCTATAAATTAAGATTCAGTGTAGAATAGAGATGTCATGCTCTAGATAGGCCTAATATGTAATACAGTACATCTGTACAATAATAGGCCTAGTCTTAGACAAACTTTTTCATTTAGTTTATACATAGCCTACCCAATTACTGTACATACAGTGGAGTCCCAATAATCCAAATCTTGATAATCCAAATTTTTTTGGAAATTTTTTGAAGTAGCCTATTTTGTACAAATTTTTTTGAATTATTTTTTATTAAACTTTTGACACAGTTAGCTGTACCTTTTCAAAGTATTCTGTAGCGGCTGGGCGAGATAGACTTTTTTTGTCGAGTATTTTAGTAAATATTTCACCATTTTAGCGAATTTCCCTATAGGGAAGTAGCTATTACCGTAGGTCTCATGGTAAGACTTAGGCCCGGGACCGATTTACTTTTTCATTTTGATGTCCCCAGAGGCCAAAAACACCATTCGTTCAAATTTTTATATATGTATATATATATATATAGATATATATATATAGATTTATATATATATGTGTCCGTGAACACGATAACTTGAGTAATTTTTATCCGATTTTGATGAAATTTGGTTTGAAGGTGTAAGGCGGGATAAACTTGAATGAGTTCGCGATCCAGCATGATCGGACCATGGGAACAGGGTTTTATGGGGGGTTTTATGAGGTAAAAATTGGTTTTTCTCACTTTTGACCCTCAAAACACAAAATTTCCCAATTTTTCTCTAAACCTTCTTAAAGAGCTTAAAAAAACAAACAATTCAGTATATCAAAGTGTTTTTGTACGGTTATTGGTTACGGAGAAAACTAAAAAATTGTAAATTTAAAATTCCCATGTTATTCTTATGGAGAATATTGGTTGTAGTTTGCTTGTTTATGGATATCTTTTGTTCAAACTTGGCAAATATATTCATTTTCTACTAAGCAATAATTATTTTACTTAAAACACAAACTTTATCAGTTTCCTTGTAGCAGCAAACCTAGGTACTTGTTAAAACTAATGTTATTTAAATAGCTCGATTGAAAATCAATTCAGCCAAATGGAAATTCGCTTAGACGGCAGGTTTGCTGCGGCGGGGGTATTTGTTATTACTGTAGGCTAACATTTTACATTTTTGTCCGCCAAATCACAAATGGATTTTATTGAGTGGTAATGCTGCAGCCAATAGGTCTAGCCTTAAGTAATTTGAAAAACAATCCCGGGCCCGTGCCTGCGTCAAAAAAAGGTAGTAAGAAGTAAGACAAAAAAAAATTCAAAAAATAAAAAAAAATAAAAAAAAAATTTATTTTGAAATATTCGGTAATCCGAAATGGGCCCGGTCCCAACCATTTCGGACTAACGGGACTCTACTGTACTATATACATTACTGTGGATATACAGTTTATAATTTATCTCCATTCAGTTACTCCCCACATTTTTTTCAAATATTGGTTCCTAGATAGATTTCAATTTTAGAAACATCCTTTAATTTAAATAATTTAATTGATTAAACAAGACAACTCGGAGTATTGTGCCTGTTGATGACTATGTTTAGTATGTGTAGTCAAAAGTGCTTCCCAGAATGTCAATTATTTAATATTTTCGGTTGCTGTATGAAATATTGAATTGAATTAGGCAAATTAAATTTTACAGTAAGTATAGATAAATTGAAAAGTTATGGCATTGTGTTTCATTGTATTCACAAGAGATGGGTAGGTTTTTAAGTTGGTTATCAATTTTACCAGTTTTTAGAAAAAAAAACCAAAACCAAGAGTTGATGGAAAATTTTGGTTTCAGTTTATTGGGCGTTGTGGAATAATTAGTCTGATCCTGGGACTCGGTTGCGACTTCTTTACTGTTGCAGGGAATGTACAAGATTTTTCTGTGTTCGCGGGTGACAACGATGATGTCTTTGCCGAAAATTCACATTTCCAATACATCAAGAGGGAGACATTGATAACAATTGTATAATCACAGAAAATTTTAGGATTGTCATCACGGAAGAAAATGATTATTCCTATGTCCACATGACCGTGGGAAATTTTTAGGACTTTTTGAAGGCAATTTAAGAACAAGAAATAACCGTTTATATTCTCACAAACAACTGTTTTTACTGATTGACATATTAGGCCTATATTTAGGGCACATTATTAAAAAGAAGCCCAGCATTATTTTCCGTTGATAAGTGATTTATTTCCAGTGAAACACATTTACCAGGTGGATGGGCTGAGTGGGTGCTACAGAGGCTTTGCACCTTGGATATCAACTAATTTGGTCTACAGATACAGTTTGAACAAAGTCAAGGAATCTTTCCCACCGATAAAGAACGAAGACAGAGATGACGAAGACTTGAATGAGGAAGAAAGGTATGATTGACCTGACTGGAATAATAAACTATTGGTGGTTTGGATTTTGTCAGCTAGCTTACAAGAGAAAGAAAGAGATTATAGATAAACCCTTTTAAAGCAATTGAGATTCTTATCATTCACTTATTGCGTCTGATAATGATTGGAGTGTCCAATTGATATCAATTACCACTTACCATCTTATTTGTATTACTGTCTTGTTAATAAACAGTATAAAGCGGCATGGGGGAAGTAGAGACAGCAAATTACTGGCTGCAAGTACTTGCCCATTGCACTTACTACATACCTACATAGCAAAGTATCCCTATATGCCAGTGTTTTCCAACCTTTTTCCGTTCAGGGCACCCTAACTAGAACAAGTTTGGAGCCACGGCACACTTGTCTACAAAATATCGTTGGTTAAAATTACATTTAGTAAGTGCATACAATTTTTTGTTCAATTACATCTTACTCCGTATAACCTATTTTTTACTAGTAAATATATGTATGTATATAATATAAAGGTGGGTTTACCAAGGTAAAAAATATAAAACTCACATTTGTTTTCCAATATATGTACATTATTTAGTGTTTATTAAGTGAAAAGTTTTAAATAATAATAAAACATTGAGCTTGATTAAAATGTTGTATGAATTTACCAATAATGAGTGAGAAATATTAAATAAACCCTGGTTTCAGTTCTAGTGGGAAACTTGTGCTTGACGTTTGTTTGGGTACAGTTTCTTAACTGGGCTATGCTAATATTGATTGAAACTATTGATTTGATAAGTAAACCTTCATGCAATTTTTTCACTATCAGCAAGTTTGGTTGGTTAGGTTAGGTTATAATAGTTTAATTTAATAATAGATATACTTAAAAATATCGATTATTAATCAATATTTTCAATTCGATAGTTTCAAACGATATTAGCATAGCCCAGTTAAGAAACTGTACCCGTTTGTTTATTAAAAGTTTCTTTCTTGATCAAAAATTGTTTAATTACTTAAAATTTCGCGGCACACCAACAGAGGCCTACTGGCACACCAGTGTGCCGCGGCACACTGGTTGGGAAACACTGCTATATGCAATGGTGTGGAAGACAAGGATAGGTGTAAATATATAAGGTGTGTTAGTCATATTTTTATTCATATTACATAAACCTGTAATGGTGGTTTTTGCAGACTGAATGTGTTCGCATGTGTGTTGTATCGTGGAGTCGTCTGTCGAGCGGTCGCTGTCATAGTGTCCCAGCCTCTACACGTCATCACAGTTCGGACTATAGCCCAGTTTGTGGGAAAAGAGACCAAATACTCGTAAGTAGACTACTTGAGTATCAAGTTGAGTTTGACCACAGACTATTGTCATGTAGAATAGCAAATTCTGTTTAGGATTAGGTAATTTTAGGTTAGCTTAGCATTTTAGGTTAGAACCGAGATCTAACATAAAACTTTAATTGTGTGTTTACATATATAAAGTGCTCAATTTGCGGTGGAACAGAGTTCCGGTAAGTCTCTTTCAGAAAGATAAAAATATTGGCATACATAGGTAATAAACACATTAAATAGGTAAATTCCAGCACCTCATTTTATTAGAATTCGAGCACTGCATGTGTATATTATACAGTATAGGCCCTAATGGTAATCGTGTTTAACAGAAAAAGTCTAAATATTATAGGACCTCAATTAAAATAATTAGGCTGTTATTAAAATAACAATTAAAATAAATATGCAAAGACAACATTTCTCAATAGTAAGACTTGAGATATTGTATACCTACTTGTAATTTTGACAGAATAAACTTCTAAGATTTGTGATGGAAACGGGTACCGGTACTGAAAAAGAATTTTAATAGTGAAATTTTTATCAAGAGCCATTATTAGGAAGTCAGGAAGTTTGTGCTAGGTTATTCAATAAGTTAAAAGATAGGGTTACAAAATCATCCTAAACCCTCATTTCCATGGTCAGATCAGTGTGCATTTCAATCTTAATTTTGCCTAAGTTGATGTCCATTTAAATTACATGAAAACTAAATAGTTTTTTTGTTAGCCGAATCAGTCATGGACTGATTTATATTACAATTTAGTTTGATGTATGATTTGATTTTGATTCATTTTAGTTACCGGTACTGTACAATGTTTTTGATTTATGATTAGAAGCCTACTCAAATTGCCATTTACTAGGGGTGTGCGAGTACTCGAATCTTCGAGCTTTTTGGTAGAGCTTTTCATTATTCGGCTCGGCTCGAGACATTTTGAAAAAGCTCGAAGTTCGAGCCGAGCTATTAATACTAAGTCAAAACTAAAAAAACACTTAATTTGTGTCGTAATTGAAAACAAAGTTATCACAATTCTACGTTGTTCATGCATTCGAGGTTTGATAAGCACGAACCTCGGCTCAGTCAAGACGCAATGATTATCGAACGTAATTTTGAGGAGATACGAAAGAGACAAACTACCACCCATCGCGTTGTCTTTCTAACACAGCTATTCGTATAGTAATCTACAACGCAGTGCGAGTGCGTGATTGGCTCGTCGCTATGACAACACACGGTTGCCGTGACAACCTACAGTGCGCACTGAACAGTGCGCACTGAGCACTGCGCCTTGTGTGGGATGGGAGATTATACCAACAAACTATTTCAGGAATTCCATTTTGGGACGGATGATGAAAGATAAGGAAGGAACAAAAAGTGGTCACGTGTGCAAATGTAGTGGGCGACACAATAAGGCTGTAAACGAGTGTCGCGTCATTGTTCCTTGTTTCTTTGTTTGTTTACTTTTTCAGATTCCTTATCAAACGCCCCTATCTGCTATCTCTCTTTCTCTTTCTCCCCCTCCCTCTCTCTAACAATGTATTGATTAAACAGATTGTGGTTGACGAGTTTTCTACTTATACGTTTCCCTGTGGTTATTTTAGTTAAATCAATCCCATAACCTTTGTATTGTTTATCAAAATAATTAATTAATCTATTTTGTATTTTATTTCCTTTAAACCAACCCCTATTTACCATCTGTATTTTATAAAATAAAATTTTTGTTTATAAAGTTTGACAGGCCACACAATTTTATACCTATTTTATTTTGTATAAAGTAACAGTTACTTTGATGATTATATACGGTATATATCAATAAGTGCTGCGTGCTGTAATGAATGCTTTTTATTATCAAAATAAGTAATGAATTATTAATTGTTGATAATACATGGGTCATCGGATACAATAATGTGATGTAGTTTCCTATTTGTAACTTGCAAATAATAATAATTGATAGTTAATTCTGGAAAATGAAAAATAGAGAACACATTCATAAACCTGTTGCCAAAACAGCAACGCGGGTGTAAGGGTTTATTGTTTCAGAGGCTAGGGTGTTTCAAGGACAAAGTGTTGGACCGCCCGGCTTAGGGGGGGAGGGTGTGTGTGAAGGGGAGGAAACTGGTTTTGGCTATTTATTGATTAGTTCACCGACCCTTCTAGACAACAATTGACAGTGTTAAATCATCATGTTCTGTATTTCATTTCTTGTTTACTTTGTGTGTTATTCTATTAATTTTAGTGTTTTGGTCCATTTCCTCTATGTCAATTATATCTTTTTTAATATATAAGTTTACTTTTTACTTGTCTCTCCACCTTTTTGGATCCATACCAACCATGTTCTTTTTAGATTAATATGATTCATAAAACAAAAATATTTTGAGCAGGGAAAACAATAAGAATAAATCATTTGTTTTAAAATTTATTTTGTATTTATTAATTTATTTATACAAAATAGAATTAAATAGGTATTCATAGTAGTTACAATATACATGTAATCGACTTGTTAGTTGTTTTGTCATCATTCAAGGTCGCGCTTCCTTCCTTTCCATCCCCTTTCTCCCCGGCCACACATGGCACAGTGTCCAGTGTGCAAAATAATCTAGGTTAGGTTTCCATTTCCATAGCAACCGACTGTTGTTGCTGCTCTGCACTGATCTGAGCTGTTGCTGTTTTGTTATGAAATAAGGCTTTCGATATACTTTTATTTCTTGCATCTTAATTTAGTTCAGTTCAGTTCTTTTCTTACCGTGATTTTCTACTATTTGATGTCTTGACAATTCTGAATGTTCTTTAACATATTGAAATAACATTGTGTTTATTTAACAATTGACTGAACATTATTATTATTATGCACGTTTTTAAGAAAAAAAGTTCAATAATTTTGATAAGGGGCACTAGGAAAAGCTCGGCTCGAAAAAGCTCGAGCTCGAAATTTTTTTTAAAAAGCTCGGCTCGAGGTTGAAAATCACTATTCGCACACCCCTACCATTTACCTCTAAGGTCTATCCAATGTTTTCTATTTATTTGTTCTTAACCCTACCTACAGTGTTAGATTATATCCCTAATTCTGTGTTTTACAATTACAATTATTTTTTACAGAGGGATTTTCTCTCCCATTTGGACAATTCTACAAGAGGAGGGAATCTTTGGGTTTTTCTCTGGAGTGTTGCCGCGCCTATTGTCCGACATATTTATCTACACAGTGGCTACGACTGGTGTCTTCCTAGCACACGAGTTTGTAACTAAAGACAAGGAAGTCAGAAAAATGGTGGATACACTTATACAGGTCAGTGACCAGCTAAAATAGACCTCTCATAAATGTTGAACATTTTTAGCCTTTGGATGATGCATACATTTAAAGGTCAAAAATAACTGTATTACTTGAGTGATCCTGTTTTTCAATTGACCACAGTTTCAAATGTTTCAAACCTTTAGGTTAGTTTCCAACCCCAACAAACTGTTTAATAGATCCTCTTTATCCCTGGGGGTTTGAAGAATTATCACTAAGTGATTATGATAACAGACATGTCGAATCCTCAATAGATTGCTAGTCATAACTTCTTGGTGTATGTGTTTGTGACAATTCATAGACATTAGAAATAAAGAGGATCCTTTAACATGTTTGCGATGTTGTGCATTTAGTCTCGACAGGGCCATTTTTATGTGAATCGTTCTTGCGAGGTTTGAAAATCAGTATTCGTACCATCGTCACTGACAGTTCAATTTACTAGGTATGTGTGGTAATACCCTCTATGCTCAAAACTGGTCTGTTATTTGGAAAAATATGACCACTTGACATTGATCATGTATTTTCAAACTCTGATGTAAAAGTGTCCTCATTTCCATCAGTTTTATGCTTATAAGAACATCACACCAGCAATATCTCCCGTTTTCCTGAAACTGTGGTTGAATTCAAGGGTTATAACAACTTGTTTTTGAAGGCTACTTTATACTTTAATAAATTTGTTTCAGTATGTCGCCAACGCCGCCTTTTACCCTCTCTCCGTCGTCGGTACCTGTATGAGTGTGACAAACTCTGGGTGAGTGTGAATTTGAATTTTTTACGTATTCAAATTGTAAAAGTATAGGCCTACCTAGTATTCATAATCTAAATGACAATTGAAAAAAATTAAAAAACAATTTTTTCACGACATTTCACAATCTGGAATCTGAACCTGACCCCTAAGTGAAAAAGTATTTTGAACTACTAGTGGCTTAAAACTATTCTTTAGAAACTTGATGTGCAATGCACAGTTACTGTTTTGTTTGCAAATAGTCAAAGAAAACCTGAATGTTTTACAGGCTGGTCGCCGGGTCACCACCCAACATGCCTCACTATAATCACATGTTTGACTGCTGGACTCATTTGAGAAGCATCCAACAACACAAGCGAGGCTCCAGTATTCTGTGGAGATACTATACACAAGTGTCCTCGCAACATGCTAAACAATTATAACTTGTGTAACTCTTATTTATTGTATTATCTTCAACTCTTTAAATATAGCTTTTGTCTTGTGAACGTTAATTATTTATATTTTCTGAATGGTTTAGGCAGAGTGTGCGGAGAATCAGTATTGTTTCAATGCAGTTTGTGTTTACGGGAAAATGTTGATGCTACACTTGAACTAGTAAATGTTGACGTGTAAGCCGAATTAGAGAAAAACATGTACTAAAAAAAATACATGTCACTTCCTAACAGAATTTACATAACTTGTAGCATAGACTAACCAACACAAGTAGACTTCTCATCCCATTGTAAATTTTGAAGCACGTTTTTTGTGTCTAGTTCATGTACGTGACGTGACACAAAGGCGTTAGTGTCGACGAAATTTTGTTTCTATTATTTTAGGGTTAATTTCTTGATTTGTGCTTTACTGTTTGGTTGTATAACTAGGGGACAAGTTATTGTTTATGTTTAGATCGTATTATTTGGTTAAACGAGGTTTTAAATGGCTGTAATAACGGGAAACAAATTGTAAACAAAACACGACCTCTACATAAACCGTACAGAACTAACAATAAAATTGTCTTCAGCTGTTCCATAAGGATGAGAAATCTACTAAGGGAGTATGTTTTATCTATGCTTGTAGGAAGTACCTCTAAACAAGTTAGCATTTAATTTCAAATCATAGAAAAGGTTAACTCAATGATTCTCTAGAAAGCTCATGTTTGTTTATAACCAAAATACATTTTATGTGATTTTGAATGCAGCTAAACAGTCTTTATTCAAATCTTTGTGTGGAATTGTACAACTTGGCCATGAAGTTTTCAACCCTTTCTTGGCATACCTCGTTTTCCCACCTGTGAACAAAAGTATGTATAAATTTTTTACTTACCGTAAGTATTTTTTTTACGAATGAAATATTTTTTTGCTTGGGTTAAGGATGCTGAACTCATTGTAGACTTTTACACGTTTTAGAAAAATGCTAATAAAATGTTGCTACTAAAGTGTAGGAAACAACGGTGAAAAGCTGATTTCAATTTAGGTTACAAATATATTTAAATATGAAAAGCAATATGTATGTCAGTTTAAAGTAAATAAAATACTAATGAACAACAGACTTAAGTGCATTTGATCCAAATAATATTTTGTATTCATTATATAGCCTACCATAAAATATAACTTCTCTTTACAACTGATTGGTTAGCAAACTTACAATTTAAATGTACAACAACAATTTAAATCCGTGTTACATAAACAATCCAGTCTTTCAAATTTACCACTCCTTCAGTTTACTTTCATATTGTCTGCTCTTTATAGTAAACTCTTTATAGAGGGGTGGTTTTAGTGAGTAGTCTGTGATAGATTCAGGAGTCTCACACTACAGGCTGGCTACCTGTGTGCGTAAAAGCATTTTCCCTCCTCCCCCTTAGTAAAAAAATAGTAAACTTTTTAATTTGCCTATTCTTATTCATAAGACTCCCAGTTAAGATAAAACATCTCATTAAAATGTCTAATTTCTCAGATTTCACCGATCTACAAGAAATGTTCCTGATATCTTAGTAGGGTATTGGCCATCCGCAAAAAGTGTATTAATTTTATATAGGAACTAATTAATACATGTGTGAACTACATATTTTTTACCCGTTATGTAAAGTGTTTTTTGACAGTTTGAACATTTTAAGTGAGGGAACATTTTAGCTGGGAATTGTTCTGTAATAACGTAATTTTATCTAATTTACTTATAGCTTTGACTGTTGACAAAACTATATATTCCATACACATGTTTAGTTGTCCTTGCCCTTTACTCACTAAAATAAGCCTAGCTATTTTACAGCACGAGGGAAACAACCCTTTAACCAGGCAGGCATTTGTGCTCAACAGGATCGGGGTATCTATTGATAAGACCTTCTTGATTGTCTTGTCAGGTACCCCATCAGGCCCTGGAGACTTGTTTTTTTAAAGGGACTTGACAACTCCCTCCATGACGGAAGGTGGTGATCGGATGCTGAGTTTCTGGGTTACAAGTCTGTAGTCAAGGCGTCATGAATCGGATTCAACCCTAGTTTCCCCCAGCAGTATTGGCTTTGGTTGATGGCCTGGTGGAAAGACTTCCTCACCACCTTGTAGGCCTCCGACTTCGGACATCAGTCTACAGACTCCCTGGCCCTGGCAGCTAGTCTTCTAGCTTGACATAACTCCGCAATCTTGGCAGTCCACCAGTATAGGGGTAGCTTTCACATGGGGATTTCCTGCATAGTATAGACTCAGCAAGCCGAGACAATCAGTCCCATCAGATGTAACTGACACCTCTGTGCAAGCCACGCCAGAGCTGGCCCATAAAGACAGGATGTATAATTCAGTTTCTAAAAGTTAATGCTTCTGATACATCCCATAAAAATGGTTTTATAAGGCCCCATAAAAACTCCACCCAGGCCTCTGATGTATGACGGCCGCTCTAGACACCTAGTGAAAAATAAACTCTTAGAACTGTAACAAATGTTATCACAGTACAAGTACAAGTAAGAAATTATTTGTGGACAAAAATATCCGACCTGCCATCACGTTTAAAATGTGTCCCTATTATGAATCCACTAGCAGACAAGTAGTTGTGAACGTTATCAGCTGTTACTCCAGAGCCCACGAGAACTGGCAGCCCTGATGCCTTCCGTACATCTGAAACAAAAACAGCGGGTAAGCTTAGTTTTCTGACAATACAGGTAATTTAAAAAAACGTTAATGTTTATTTTGGAACAAGTTATTTATCTATGTAATCTATTGATTACTTGACCATTGTGTCGGCTAGTTCTACTGGCGTTTTACAAAAAATTAGATTACTAATATAATATTGAAGTCAAACATAGGATTCAATAGTAGGTTTCATCACTAGGAGTGAAAGTGGCTCTTTTTGGTACGCAATCTGACTTGGGCAAATGTATGCAAACGTTGGATGTCAATCTTTTTTAATGTAGGTTTCTAACATTTCTTTGGAATATATGGCTTAGAGGAAAACATTTTCCACAAAACTCTGAATAAAACAACAAAATCCAGCAAATTATACTAAACCTTGTATAATACTAAAGTTGTATAATGAAAACCCAATATTATATTGTGTATAACAAAATCTGGTTGCGAACAATATTATCAGTGGAAGATGGAGTTTACATAGTATCTTTACAGACAACCCACTCCCATGTTAAAGTTGTCACCTGATTTAGAATCAAAATAGACATAGTTGAATTGAGCTTCTCACAAAGTTCTCGATATAAATTACCGATTTCTTTCAAATACAACTTCTCAACCAAGTTAAACCTCTTGGATGTATTATTGTGACCTAGAACATCTTATATGTCACATAAACTGTGTTAGATGGCTCAACTATAAGTCTATATAGATGGAATGTCAGTATGTAATGTATAGGTATCCAAAATGCATAGTTTATCATTATATGTTAGGACAATAAAGAAAAGACCTTCTATATGACTTGGAGTAGCTGGGTCCCCTGTAGAACTTCCAGTGACTACGAGTCCGTCTGCACAGAAGAACTCGGCAGCCTTGGCTGTGTCTTGAAGACTCACATCACTTGTGACAGCATGCGAGCTGTGGATAAACATGCAAACTTGATCAAAAATCAAACTACAGTAGAACCACCATAACATGACTTCATGGCAAGTCACCATTGAAGTGCCGTATTCAAACACCTTTGATTTTGTATACCCTAATCATGTAATTGCAATAAGTAGTCTACCTTCTTGATAACAAGTCATATTTGATAAACCCCATGAGGAATCGCTATCGGGATTTCACTCAATTTTTTCTCTACGTTCTTAGTGGTTTTGAAATAGCCTTTGTTCTTGCAGAAATTCTTATTTTGTCAATTGTTGTATATAGTTAACACTTTCTTTAGAATAACATGGGAATATAATTTTTTTCTCCGTAGCTAATATTTGTACAAAAAACACTTTAAAATACTATATAATTTGCTTTTTAAGCTCTTTAGGCCCACCGCACATTGGTGTGAGGCGAGGTACAGGCTAGATGCAGGCGGGAGTGAAAACTTTTTCGTGTCACCGCACATTGAAGCGAGGCGGGTCAGAGGTTTCCTAGCTTTAGTGCTACTGTCGTGAATGGAAGAAGATTTATTGGGTATTTACTTGTTGGCATTGAAATCCCAACAAATGTTAATCACTAGAAGCCGTTAGAACATCTGCTTCACAGATGCTACGATAATCACAATATCTATTCACCAACGTAAATTCCTAAATAAAGATTATTGTAACCGTGACGACAGAGGGAAGGGTGCACGCGACCTAGGGCATTCACTAGTAGGCTGACATCTGCCTACCCTAGTTGGGGTAGGTCACGACAACCCTAATATGGACCCCAGTCCATTCATAACCTCCCGTTGGGGTTCACCCTTCGGGCACAGTTGTAAAGCACCTCCCCCTTGTCATTGTAGTCCCTACGCCATTCACTAAGCCTCCCCCATTCAGACTAGGGTAACTACCCTTACTACAATAGTCAAATAATTAAGATATACAATTCACATAAGGCCCTATATAATTAGACAAAACTATAAATCCAGGGTATCTAAACAATCCTATTATTACAGATACATCGAATAAAATGCCTTTAACATAGTAAAATATATATTGAGTAAAATATGTGACTACTGTATTACTACTGTTGGGTAATTTTTCCAACCATTTGTTAGGTGGCGGCAACGGCTAGCTCTGTGGTTACCGGAAGCTTATCTCTACCGCTAAAAGTCGTTTATGATAAGCTCCCTTCTTTGATTGTGATAGTTTAGTTATGAATTGGACTTGGAGGGACTTGTTTTGTTGCGTCAAAAGGAGAAGACCTCTTATACCAGCCGATGCTGATATCTACCGTGTCACCTATACCGGGACCTCCATAGTGGTGAGTGCGGTCTATGCTGAACGCACTGAAGTGTCCACTGTGACCTTGGCCACCAAGAAGGTGACGAGGGTGGTCATCCGGCATTAAAGCCAGAAAAACGTAAGTCCGTATGGTGCTAATTAAGTTAGTCTTAGGTTTGCGTTATTGCATTATCTCCATCCGGCTGATATGCAGTGTAGGCTGCTTATCAATACTGCACTAGGCACCGTCAGTTACTTAGTCAACTTAGCCAGTTTCTACACCCTGGGCGGGTGGCAAGACATCGAACTAACTAATAATAACTTGAACTAAGTAATTAATTCAATTAATCTGATGTAATTAATTCCAATTTAAATCTAATTTTTACGTGAAAAGAGTTTAATCGTATTCTATTCCCTGACCGCGCACGGTGATTTATCCCTCTGTGCCAGGTTCAATCATAATTCGTTAATCGGCTATCAGCCAAACCACACATTCCGCCCCCGCACAGACACGCCTTGAGCCTCGTGGCGCAAGGCGACGCCCACAACCTCAGCGAAGCCACACGCAGCCTAGCCGTAAACCAACATTGCCGCCAACCACACAAGGTGCGTCGCAGCGCACCCCTACCATATATTACGCTAAACCCAACACAACACATCATTTGGTCACACATCAATTATACTACATAAACACCTATAAAATAATACCTAAAACAATTACTACCAAAAATCACACACATCAAATAGTTCTACTCATATGACAATCCATTTACCTATCCGTTTGTTTGCATTTCCCTATTCACTACACTACCAATTATAGTTATTTTCATTTATTTAAGTTTATTTATTTATTTATTTATTTATTTATTTTTTTTTTCAAGATTACCCTAGACTAGAACAACACATCTTAACGCTACAATACAGCTCTGAACACAGTCCTGAAATACTGGCCGCCTATCTGCGCCCTCCTGTAGGTCCATTATCCCCGTAATCACCCTGCTATAACAGCACACTTACAGTCAACACTCCACCACGCCAGTTCATTTCTTGCTGTCACCGGCCGTGTCCTTAATTACTTCTCATCCTTAGCGCAATATATCATGCGCCACTTTTACACTAATATTACTGGGTAGTCCACTCTACCTATCGCTCACCTGCTGAAGAACAACACACTGTTTATCAATATATCTCGCACCACAGTACGGTTGCTATAACCGCAACCGCGAATGTCAATCCCCTCGTACAAACCAATCATTGTCTAGTCCTTAGGGGAAGGTCAACACCGTCGTGGTCTGCGCAGGTCTATCCTCCGCTCGCTCTGGAACCTGGTCGTTCCCTCTCGTTCCGGTCGTTTCGCCCTCTTGAATCGTGAGACGTCCTCGTCTCCAGCACCCTTGGATGTAGGCCCTCTTCCATGTCAGAATTGCCAGAATGATAATAATAACTCCGGCGACGCAACTTCCCGCTGCTAGACGCTCGTTTAAGGTAGTCTGAACCCATCGCTCAGATTGTAGCTCCGCTTCCCGCAGCAGAAGCTGGAGATGCGCGTAGCTTGTCCCAGGATGACGTGTCTGGTTGATTATTCCATGTAGGGTTGCCATGCCTGGATACTGGTTACTCAAATTTCGATAAGAAGAGAGTGATTGACGTTCCTCCCTGGATAATACTGAAGAGAAGGGAGTTATCTTGAATTCCGTAGCCCCCTCGAACTGCATGTACCCTCTAGTGATTGGATAGAGAACAAAGTCACTAGCGTGTATGTGGCACCCTGCCGACCTCGTAATGACCCCAGCCCCTTGTATGGTGATGACAACTGGCTGTGGTTCGGCAGGACACTCCAACGTGACCGTAATCTTCTCCGAAGTACTAAACACCCAGCTTCCCTTGGTGGCCACCCTGTGCATCTTTGTGTCAACTTTTCCAAGGTACAGCTTCCGATTGCAGGTGACTGGTACTGCCCCCTCTTGCTCCCGGAACAGCATGGCCTCACAGTGGTTTTCAGGCTTCAGGTAGACTGGCAGGTCCGGTGGGCACACAGCAAATCGCCCTCTTGTGCAGGTGTCCAGGAACTCCCCTGACAGTACCAAATGTCTCTGCTGATCCTCCGAGACTGCCAGGAACTCCCCCAGACCTGTGAGCTCTACATATCTCTGCAACTCTCTCTCATACATTGGCAGGGAAATAACTTTAAATACCGAAAAATGTCTGTTAACTGATTTTAAGGGAACCTCAAACATTACTCTGATACTACTACCATAACCTACTGCATATGCCTTGCAAAAATTGTAATACAGGTGAACCAAACTAACCTCCGGGCTTATAATTAAACTTAATCCCTCAGGGAGTTTTAAAACTACTTCATTTAACAAGGCCAATAGTCGCTGAGGGCTAATGATTAATGAACTTATCTTACCCTGAGCTAAGGTGTCAAGAGCCTGTTGTACACGAGCAAGTTCCCCATCTACTGTGTTTATTGTAAATTCAATGCTCCTCAACAATGAATAAGTTTTAGCCCTGTGAAACATGGTTGCATTTAAATACGAAATTTGTTCATCTGCCCCATTTAATAATTTTGCAAACCGCTGCATGTTAGTATCCATAGCAACAGCTAATGTCTTAATGTCCCGCTCGGAAATTTTGACCTCATCCTGAAGTTGCTTAACATAAGACAACTGTTCCTTTTCCAGATGGATAGTATCCTCAGACAATGATGCTAAAGCGTCTATGTGAGAGTTTAATGTTAACAGATCATTATTATCCATTGTCCCAAAAAGAAATTTCATACCAGATCCAACCGCATCCAACAATCCCCGCTTTTGGCGTCCCCCAGAACCCAACATCGTCAACAGCCTGACTGACCCTAATCGGTCCTGCAATCTCGAAACACCTACTAACACCCGTTCCAATTCCTCCCTGGCAAACCGTAGTATTACCGTGTCGTTTGCCATCAGGCTTACCGCGTCTGTAATTGACTCTACTAACGTCACATATCCACCCACGTCTATTTTGCTAGCGATGGTCCACGTGTCACCCGAGAGCGTCATTTCGCGCTCCTTGACAAAAACTACCCCAGACGGCGGGAAATTGCACACCCGTTCTCGACATTCCCACGCTGGGGAAGGCTCTACATTCTTCATGGCTATCAGCCACACAATTACTGTAACAATGAAATGTACAATCACTTAAGTGGTTCTTATAACCATAATCACGATGATAACTACAATAGTCACCGCGATATCAAAACTAATATGAATACTACACAAACACGATATCAACATAAAAAGTAAATACGCTATCAAACGCAATATTAAACACGAGATTAAATACAATATTACACTATACGATTAACTCTTTGTAAACACTTGGAATCCGTCATTACTTTACAATGACAATCCCCTGCCACACATTACGTTAGGGAGTTACCCTTTCTTTTGTTACGTGTCCTATATGCTGGTCCCCCATCCTCGACCAGGTGTGGCTCCACGCGCCGCGATTCACCTGCCGGGGGTTGCCAGTCCTTATCGCTCTCGTCATCAATATATGTCAACTCACCCATGCCTTCAAACACCGAGTCCTCCCCTGACCCTTGGTGTGCAATGACATCGGGAAAGTCGACACCTGTCATATCCGGTTGTTGTGGTTCAGTTTGCGTTATCAACAGTGGCGACCCGAAATTCAATAATAGATCCCTGTTGGTTTTAGTATCCTCCTCGGCCGTCG